AGGGGGGTGAACTACACCTTTAACCACTGACATTACCATACAGTAACGTGTATGCAATCTGAATTAACGTTAGGTAACTTAATCACTAAGTATCGTCTTACATCTAAGCTACTGTAACCATATGAAACCAACATTGTGCTTGTTTTGTAAAAGTAACGTTAAATAAAACATTATTTATCAATGTTTCTCATAGCAAACCGATAAGCAGTGAATGTAAATACAGCGAGCTCATGGATCTTTCACATAGTCAGAAATCAAATTACGGGCTTGTGACAACATGTGACCCACCAGACTATCACCGTGTCAAATGTAATTATATCGATCATGTGTGTGGAGCAATAAGCGAAGCAGTCCCAGAATGACTAAGTGCTCTTGGTCTCAAGGTGCAAAAGCTCAACCGATACTAATATAATTGTCAATTCAACAGACGTTTAATTATTAGGTAATATTTAATGACAATATTAGTCACAGCGCACAGTATTCTGGGAATCGTCGTCTTTTCAAACCCACGTGTGGCACTGGCGGTCTTTATCTGAACTACAACTCACAGCAGCCCGTGAGTAACGGCACTCCAACATGATAAACTAGCATATAACGTTAACGAGGTCATTTGCAGGAATAACTCACTCACCTCGTCTCTTGGTTGCTAAACTTTTTAGTCACCACTTTCCCCAATTCCAGTCCGAGGCGGTCGGCGATCTTCTGGGACAGATCCTGGTGGGAGCTCCCGCTAAAAATTTTAATATTGGGCATTTTGTTGTTTGTTTTTTCAAGATCTCACTATTGAGTAGATCCCAATAAACAGAGAGAGAGGTGTAATTGTTGAGATATTTCTATCCGATGTCAATCCGAAGTGCAGTCGCCACTACCTCTCGGCCATTGTTGATCCCACGGAGCGCGCGTGACGTCACACACTGCTGCCCACGCCTTCTTCTGCTTCCATTTAATGGTGTTGAGAAACTAGATAGACTGTATTATCGCCGCCGACTGGACTGGAGTGTAAGGAATGAAAACAAAACAAAAATAAAGAAATAAAAAGGCCTACATAACTATAGAATCAATTCTTAGAGCGCACGTGAACGCCATCAGCGTTTATCACAGCGTTAAAGTAATTAGAGAACGGTGTCGTCTTAGCGGCTCCTAATTTAATTACAAATGATCATTTCGGAAGTCAAAACTTTAGCTCGAAAATACATAACATTATTCAAGAACCGCTACAAACCAAACCAGTCTCTGTTACCTTAGTTTAACTCTGTAGCTGCTTGACTTGACTCGTTAACGCGTACTATGGCGACCGGAAGTGCGATATCGTGAAGACACTTAACACACATGAACAGACAATGCCTAAAATATATAATAGAAATACGCTTTACCAAATGCAGCTAAAACCGCAATATCTGCTTTTGTATATGCAAATATAAAAATCAAATCAAAACACTGTAAAATGTTTACAGTATTTTCACTTACAGTAGGCTACTTACAATTTTTACCTTTTACTGTCTATGATTTTTACTGCATCGGCTATATGCACGATCGCTTCCGGGTTTGTCTCGGCCCGCCCAGTTGCATCCGGTGCTGTGTCAGAAGACGATTTTGCATTAGGTGTAGATGGCGGCAAATTACACTTGCTGTTACTAAAACGTACTGCTGATTGATGCAGCTTCTGCGACTTCACTAGTCAGATTTCGCACGATATGAGAGAATACTCACCCTCAAAGTTGTCGATGTAGCTCGAAATATATAATTTAAAGCCCTTCTCTTTTTTAATCTTACGTGTGACTGCTAACTGCCTCACAGTTGTTAAAATCATTCACGTTAACTGCAGGACGTTTTTGTAAACAGCAAGTGTAATTTGCCACTATCTCCACCTAATGCAAAATCAATACATTTAAATGAATGGACATTGCAATTTGCGGACGACATGATTCAGACCATGAACTTGAAAATAAAACAGATTTAATAAACAATGGTGTTGCTTAAAGGGTTAGTTCACTCAAAAATTAAAATTCTGTCACCAATTACTCACCCTCAGCTAGGGATCCGGTGGGGTCTTCTGCTGTTGTGACCCATCCGCCTCAAGGTTGTGTGTGTTGTGGCTTCACAAATGCTTTGCTGCATACCTCGGTTGTAACGAGTGGTTATTTCAGTCAAAGTTGCTCTTCTATTAGCTTGAATCAGTCGGCCCATTCTCCTCTGACCTCTAGCATCAACAAGGCATTTTTGCTCACAGGACTGCCGCATACTGGATGTTTTTCCCTTTTCACACCATTCTTAATGTAAACCCTAGAAATGGTGTGCGTGAAAATCCCAGTAACTGAGCAGATTGTGAAATACTCAGGCTTTGTTTACACGGAAACGATTCTGAAGAGAAAACGCAAAAGTGGCGTTGCGTCGTCGCTTTTTGTTCTGCGTTTAGATGAGCGTTTTGTGTGGGAAATCCGTGTGCAAATGGTGACGCAAAAGTGTGTGAAATTCAATGTAGTATGCACTTCAGGCGGCTAGGAGTGCAGTTCCAGTTCCTACTAGCATGTCTTTTCAAAAATAAAAATATAAATTTCAGTATAAAAACATACCTTACTTGTGCCTTACCCTTACTTGTGTCTCTAAACATATGGCAGAATCTACATTATTCACCGAATTTGCACTAAAATAATCTCTTTCCTCTCAAACACACTTTAGCCCACAAATCATTAACTAAAAAAAAAAAAAAAATTATGTTAATGTGATAAGCCTATAGTTGGCTGCAGTATGAGTATCCTTGGCTGGCTTAATGACAGAAATAATGTTTATTTGTTTCCACAAAGGTGGATAAAGTATTTCATGCTTTCTTACACAGTTTTGCATTCAAATTAAATCATTTAATCTTTCCACTTCTCAGAACAGGTAACAACATTCCTGGGATGCAGTTAGATGTTCAGAGGTGGGAACTGGTGAACGTCCAATACTTTAATAATCACAAAAAAAAAAAAAACACAGAAAGATTGCCGTGAATTACACACAAAACTTAAAACGCCCTGTTTGCCACAATTTCTTTTCAGTCCACCCATCTTTCTTGACATCTTCCTCCCTATAGATTTACAGTCATTCCTCCAATAGATAGTTAGCCATGTTTGAATGACCCTTAAAGGCTTCTTATAGCACTTATAGAGCCACCGTATATGTGTAGGGTTTTATTTTCTTTGTGTTTTCAAAGGACGCACATGTCTTCATGAGTGACAGATAAAAGAACGTCTCCATTTAAAGGTTTTAATGTCATAGAATGATGTTGTGAAGCTGTAATTTTCCTTTTTTTTTTTTTTTTTTTTTTTTTTTTTAAAGTTTGAGCATTGACGCAACGCCATTGAAACTTCCAATAAGAAAAAAAAAAGTCAATGGGTCCAAAACTAAAAAAAGCTCTAATCAAAATATGCTTGCATGATTTTAACAAGCTCCTCTGTAAACTTTAAGTGATTGCAATGGCTCATTCATTCAGTGTTTCAGTGATGGTGTGCTTCAATCCCCCACAATAACCCATTAATGTTGAAGCAAAAGAACATAAAATCTCACAAATATTCACAATTAGACTATATAAACGTAATCTATCATCTATGGAAATGCTTGTGTTGCCAAATCTGAAGCTAGAGCACAACTCGTCTGTTCCAACCTCTGTGTTTGTTTTGTTGACTAAATTCAGAAATCGTTTTATTCTTTTAGCACACGTTTATTAGTCTCATTTTTCTTATTTTACAGACAATGATGGAAAAGGGAGAGAAATGGGATCCGTTTTTCACCTCAGCTTTTCTGAGAACATAGAAAATAAATCACACAATGCCCTTGTGACTTGCTTTCATTCAGTGGAGCAAAATAGTCTGTTCAAGGTTAGTTTCAAGCTTCAGTAGCTTTCACCAAGAACTCTTTACAGAACAGAAACAAAAGAGTGGAAAAATGCTGACACTCAACACAGGGTCGATTCACTGAAGCCCGAGCGTCTTGATTCTGAAAGAAGCCGTGTCAGGTTGATTTTATTTCATTTCGGGGTTTTTTTCTTCTTCTTTTTTTGCAATATGGTAAATGAATGGGGGGGGGAGAGAGAGAGAGAGAGAGAGAGAGAGAGAGAGAGAGAGAGAGAGTGTGTGTGTGTTGTGGGAAAGAAGAAGCTTGTTTAGGTGATTCTGAAACATCTGGTCAGGGCTTTCTATCCTCTAGATGTCAGTGTTTCATTATATTTTATTAATGTGTGGTACTTTCTAAACTGAATCTGAATGTCATTAAAAAAAGAAAATATTTGATTTGATTAACATTTACTAATGTTAAAAAAATGATTAAACATTAGATCAATTGAATGATAATGTTAGTAACACTAATAATAATGTTATTAGTAATAAGTAATGTAATAAATTATTAAAAAATCGCATTACTATTAAAGATACTGTAAGTGATAATAATAAACATGGAAAAATAAATCACAATTATGAAATGCCTTAAAATGTATTATTTCTTCCACTGATACGTTTAAGAGATAACAAGTTGTAAAAAAATGCTATTTAAAAGACTTCTGGTAAAGCAATAAGAGTTTTCACCTCATGTTTTTTTTTTTTTAACTTTATTCTGAACAATACACAGGACAATAGGTACAGAGAACACTACAGATAATGTAACCTGTTCAACAAAATTAAATCAATAGTGTATAGACCAGAGGATAATAACAAATGAATTAATATAATTATAGAAGGGGAAAAAATTTAAAAAAATATGCAGTTCCTTCAGGAGATGAAATGTTCTTGTAGCTTTCATGTTTTCCATGTTTTCTATTGTTTTATAATATAATTTAAAGTCCAAATGAAATGCCTTAAAACAAGGTTGTGAATTAGACCATTTACATTTGTGAATATGGTATTTGAAACAACTGAATGACAAAAATCATTTGACAAAAACCACAAAAGTCAAAGTATAGCATGACATCAAAAATATTGATTCTGATGTTTACATTCAATTTTGTAATTATATATTCTTCCAAATCAGACCAACATTTTTTTGTGTACATACAGTGATAAAATAAATGAAAAATTGTCTCCTTATTAGATTGGCAAAAAACACAAGACTCTTCTATGTTTATTTTAAATCTTCTTAAAGTATCTTTAACAGGATAAATTTGATGCAATTATTACTTATTATGCAATCTTTCACTTTATTATTAATACAGTATTTGTGAATAGAAGTATTTGCATTTTTCCAATTTAAATCACCCATGGTTGAACACCAACATTTTTTTGCAGCAGGTGGAATCGAGCACGAAATTAGAATTCTAATAAATTAATTGCTGCATTTTGACCTCATGTTGTAGGCTATGCATTATTATTTACAATATACACGATTGCGGATGACGCTACAAACGCGGAGGCGGGGTTAGCGTCGATGACGTTGAAAGATAGGGGCGTGGCCAGAGCGCGGGATTATTATGGTCCTGTTTGCAGTGCGCACAGTATGAGAACGAGCGAGAGGGGCTCCGTTACACTCATCCTGTGAGAAATGGATCATCACAACGCTTTATTATTGACACCTATTTCTTCCACGTACATGTAATCTGCAAAATCAGCCCTTTAGATGGCATTTATTTTCAACAGTGCTTGTTCAGTATGACTGACGGTAGGTGTCTGTGAATTGGACGTTTGGAAAACCTTCGATTATGGACATGGATAAATGAAAGGGACGTCATCTGAAAACTCTGTGCAGTGTTTGACATCGGTGAGCTTTTCTGAGCCATGTATGCTGATTTACATGAATTTTGAACTCATTTTCTGAAGGATTATTATGTATATATTGTGTTTTGCAACTGTGATTGTGAACTGGAGACGTATTCGTCACATATCTCTGACCTTACAATAGCCATACTCACACTTGTTCTAGGTCGACAGACTTTTTAAATCCTTCACCAAGCGTCGTCTTAGTATTCTGAAATATGGCTTTACCCGACAATGCCGTAGAGGAGCTGGCCTTTCCAGAAATTATCGAACTCAACGTAGGAGGTCAGGTGTATATAACCCGCTACTCGACTTTAACAAGTGTGCCAGAATCCCTCCTGTGGGAAATGTTCAGTCAGAAGAGCACAAAAAACCTGGCTCGTGACACCAAAGGTCGTTTTTTCGTCGACAGAGATGGCTTCCTGTTTCGCTACATTCTGGACTACATGCGGGACCAGCAGCTCGTCCTTCCGGATCACTTCCCGGAGCGAGGACGTCTTCAGCGGGAGGCCGAATTCTTCAACCTCCCGGATCTGGTTAAACTGTTGGCACCGAAGATCAGCAAGCAGAACTCTCTGGGCGACGAGGGCTGCCAGAGCGACCCCGAGGACCCCTCGCCCAGCGCCGAAATCCCCCGAAACCTCGCCTCCCTCGGGGCGGCCGCGTGCTCAAGCCTGGCGTCCGGCGCCGGAGACGGCAAGTGCTCCGGGTTCATCACCATCGGCTACCGGGGCTCCTACACTCTCGGCCGGGATAGTCAAACAGACGCCAAGTTTCGACGAGTGGCTCGGATTATGGTGTGCGGGAAGACTTCCCTCGCCAAGGAGGTTTTTGGGGAAACGTTGAATGAAAGCCGTGACCCCGATCGCCCCCCAGAGCGCTACACGTCACGCTATTACCTGAAGTTTACTTTCCTGGAGCAGGCGTTTGACAGGTTAGCCGACGCCGGTTTCCACATGGTGGCCTGCAACTCCACGGGGACCTGCGCCTTCGCCCATGAGCAGACTGATGACAAAATCTGGGCCAACTACACCGAATATGTATTCTACCGTGAGTGAACTTAATCCCGTGTTCCTGCGTCTCCTCCCCGCCTCCCAGACCAGAGATCACCTGCAATACATGTAGAAGCTTCTAGATCTCAAACCCCACCACCTTCATCACCAGACTTTCCCACGTCCGAGCCCTTAGTGTCTCTCAGCTAACCTCCCGAACCCCGTTGATCTCCCCCTCACCAAGAGACTGCCTTCCCCCTTCTCTGCTTTTACGGCTTGTGAGAAACACAGTGTTGTACTGTTGTCATATTTTGTTCGGAAATGCTAATCTAGGAAGCTTGAGCCATTTTGAAAGGGCTTCTCTTCTGTCAATCAAATTGTTGGACGTATTATAAAGCTTTTGAGCTGATGGCCATTTTTGATTAAAGTCATTATTATCATGTGTAACCCTGAGGCCAAAAGAAGAGGGAATCCACTAGGCTTTAAAGGGATACTCCACTTTTTTTGGAAATAGGCTCATTTTACCACTCTCCCAGAGTTAAACAGTCGAGTTTTACCGTTTTCAAATGTATTCAGCCGATTTTTTGACATTTAGAACAATATTAGTAACCAGACCGTTTCTGGTCTCATTGACTTCCATAGTAGGAAAAAAAATATACTATGGAAGTCAATGAGACCAGAAACTGTCTGGTTACTGATACTCTTCTAAATGTCAAAAAATCGTCTGAATACATTCGAAAACGGTAAAAACCCTACTGTTTAACTCTGGGGAAATGGTAAAATGAGCCTATTTCCAAAAAATAGTATCCCTTTAAAAAGGTTTGGTAACACTTTATTTTAAAGTGACGTAGTTACACATTACTACATGTGCATCATAGTAATAACAGTCAATTATGCATAATTACAAGTAACTAAACCAAACCCTAACCGTAACTTGTTTTAAGTACATGTAGTTAATACGGTTACACTTTATTTTAAAGTGTCAGTGTTACAGTGTAATTATGTATTTAAATACTGAGACTTATTAAGCAACCACATTTACCTACTATATTACTTAGGTTTTGGTTAAAGGGTTATTACATGTAATTATGCACTGTTATTACTATGATAAGTGCATGTAACATATATGACGCTGTAAAATAAAGTGTTACCCTTAATACTTTTTTGTGTCCGTACAATGTAACTACGTTCAAGTAAAATGTTATAAAACCTTCTTTACACATAGATGCAGTTACTGCATGTGGATATTCAAGTGTCACTGTGAGACCAAAAGAACTAATAATACAGGATATTTCAAGTGGAAAAAAGGTGTTTGCTTTGAGTATATTCACGTGTCACACTATTTTAATTATTAACTAGCATTATTCATCTAGTGAACTGTGTCAAGGCAGGTTATAAGGTAGGCATTAACTGAGCAGAACGGTATAACGTCGTCACCTGAAAGCATCAGGGCTGTGTTAGAAGCTTTAAGTGTTTCTTTTGCGTAAGGTTAGAGGATGTGAGGTCAGAAAAGTCAAGTTTCCAGTTCAGTTGAACCATATACAGCGTTTTGATTTTTATTATCAATCAAACATTTCAGTTGCTTACCTTTCATTTATTTCAGTGTTGTTTAATGAATTTAATGTCTTTTTAAATTTATCTTATTCAAATGTAATGATAATACATGTATCATCAATTATATTTGATGTTTGGATATGTAAGCAAGAGCCTATATTTTGAATTCATGAAGATGAGATTAGGTTTTTTTGTGTGATTTGTGACTTTTAGAGCTTTAAATTTCAGGTATTTCCTACAAGCACAAGAATTATAAAGTGTAACACAAAGTCTTGCAGTCTTTTAGTTATGAGATGCCATTTGGGATAATAAATATCATCCAGTAATTTATTTTATGTCAATCAGAAATTAAATTAATCCCTTAATCTTAAATTCCTGATGAAAGTGTCTTTATGAAAGCATGAATAAAACACAATTATTATATAAAACAAATGTATGTATTTAATGTATTTGAAAATTATCGAAACAGGCCAAAAAAATGATATCTGTAAAAACACATTTCCAGTTTCATCAATAAAATGAAGTCAAGTTTAAATGAAAGCAACAGTTTAGATAAGGCAGTCTTTCGTGTTTCAATTTCTGAGCCTTATTCTCCAGAGACTTTTCTGTATTAAATACCATTTTGCAAGCATAAAAGAATAAGCCCATGTAAAAACAGTCAGAAACAGCATGAGATTCTTTGACTTAAAAGTAGTTTTGTTTATTCGGACGTATAAACCCTGGAAGCAATTTTTCGAAGGGTGAATTTGGCAGATCTGCTTTGCTTAGTAAAAGTAAAGAAAAATGGACGCATTGGATCAGATTATTAAATCTCTGTCCCCCAAAGTCTCTTCTCCGCTGAACCCTCTCTTATCATGCTTCCTCCCAGTTTCTCTCTTTCATTTTGCTCTTGCGTTCAATCCGCCGAGACTTCAAAGCGTGAACATAGGCCGGAATGAAAACCAGGACAAACCTATAACCAGCTCAGTCAAAGCAGATTACCCAACCGGCCTTTGTGTTGCTGTGTCTAATCTATCTAATTAAGATTGTGCTGGAACACTGAGCAGCTCACAGTTCACTCCAGTGAGGGAACAACACGTCTTTAAAGCTCAGTTATTATAGAAGCCGTTCAAAACCTCAAACAGATAACCTGAGATCACTGACACACACCCCCATCTCTGAGCTGGTGTATGATGAGAGAAAGTGAATCAGACAGGCCTGAAACCCCACTTCAGTACAGCCAACTAAAGTTGTGAAAATTACTTCGGTACCAAGTAGTTACTAAACTGTGAAAACGATACCAGCATTTCCCTCTAGCATTTTGAGCACTGTTCCTTAAAGGGATACTTCACCTCTGGAAAGATGAATGTGTATTTAAAATGGGTCATTTATGTCGAATGTGAAATTATTTTTGAATTTGGAGCTTTCTAGACTGAGAAAAGCCAGGAAATGTATTTTTGGTTTATGTGGATAAAAGACAACAACTCCCAGAATGCACTTGCTTCACTGCCCTAGGAGGCCACGCCTACCGGTAACAGGGCGCAGTAGTTAAACAACAAGTCTAGGCTACTAGTGAGTCTCCGTGATGAGTCTGCCCGAAAATGTGTTTCGAGATCTCCCAAAATGTCCGGGATTCGGCTTTTGCGTTCTACAGTCGCCATTCATCATGTTTACTGTGGCGAGCGGGACGAGTGACGGGCGTGATTACCGATGAGCGACACCTGTGAGACGCACCGGTCTCGTATCTCTCACAGAGGAACGGGGATTTTCTTAGCAATGTTAAAACGCACATCAACCGATCACTTGTTCATGTAAACACTACATTCAGATTCACCAATCAGAATGAATTCAGTTAGATTGAAACAAAAGCTGTGCATGTAAACAATGAATGGCGACTGCAGAAAGCAAAAACTGAATCCCGGACATCGACGGCCGGACATGTCCGGGAAAAAGAGGATGGTAACCCCGACTACTCAGCTTTCTCCACAGAACAAGAGACTGCTAGCTTAGCTTCCAAAAAAAGATGGCTGACTCCAAGTGTTCATTCTGTGAGTGAGATCCTCCCTCTATGGGCAGGTTGAGAAACTTGTGGGACAGACCCTACTACTGACTGTAGTCTTTAGATGACCAATCAGAGGTGTTTAAGACAACTCTACAGCCAACAATCTCAAACACATGCTGCAAATGCTCATAGACCCTGCTAATAAATGTCAAGTCAAGTCACCTTTATTTAGATACAGATTGTATCAAAGCAGCTTCACAGTGATAACATGAAAATAATACAACACAGATCAATAATATTGTTGAATATTAAATGTCCCCAACTAAGAAAGCCAAAGCAAGGCAACAGTGGCAAGGAACCAAAACTCCATCAGGAGACAGAATGGAGAAAAAAACCTTGGGAGAACCCAGGCTCAGTCGGGGGCCAATGAAGGAACAGTGTGATTCGGGTAGCATTATAAAACAAACTAGATCGAAACATTAATTATAGTATTATAGTGTACTGATACTTGTAATGCAATGATACTTAGACACTGGACAGGCTGAATCAGTTGGAGCTGAAACACCATATGGCCATGAGACAGACTCCAGCATCCCCGCGACCCTTAAGCAAATTGGTAAATGGATTTCTTAAAGGACAAGTTCGGTATTTTACAATTAAAGCCCTGTTTTAAGATTGTTTCTGATGAAATAGAATGGTTAGAATTGTTTTTTAGACAGATGCTGCTGTCCCGAGAATTTTCAGTTTCTTTGGTTGCACCCCCACACCTCTACAATGGTAACATAGGTGCACAGGAACAACCCTTCATAAAACGCAAAAAACTTTAGTTTACAAAGAGGTGAAACTCACCGAGTGGTCTGGGGCGTTCACTGATATGCTCACACACAGAAATCACTGCAAAAGATGCTTTCCAACAGGTTTTATCGTAGTTTTTGTCCAACTCCATTGACTTGTATTGTATGTTCTGTGAAGTACGGTATTACTCCGCCGGCTGGAAACGGAAATGGGGTTGTTTGTATTCTTTCTGTAGTCTTATGCAGTCGCGGTATCGTAGGTTATCCACAAGTTTCCTACGCCCCATGAGGCCTTGCATCAAAAGTGGGCGCGACTTCCGGTAGGAAGTAAACAAAGCGCGATTTGACATGCTTGACATGTTGTTCAATCAACAGTTGACAGTCATTCAAGTTATAGCGATCCAAACTAGCTAACGATGTGGGAACACAACCTCAACGAAATTCAAAAGGGTGAAATAACAGTACCTTTACCCTCCGCAGTAGTTGATTGGGAGTATTATACAAAGTAATAACATTATTAATAATCAATACTAATCAAGGCATGGTGACAGACAGTTGTGTGAGCTGACAAACAATTAAAATAAAAATACACACTTAGTCATTGTGCTTTGGTCGGAGTTTATTCAAAATTATAAATGAATGTGCTGCTGGAATACATTAACTGGCACATTTGGTATTCTGTCAACACAGGCTTTGATCCTGAGTTTAGGTGTAACATCAGTAGCGAAC